AAACTACCATTCCCCCCACCCCCAGATACAAATGGCAGAATCAAATCAAGCAAACATCCATTGACTGCTATAACTTTTAAAAATGACATTTGATTGATGCAGGTTCTGACACTAGGCTTCCTCAGTTTCTCTCATGGGTTGAAAGACACGTCTATACGAACTGATCAGCTTCGTCCTCGTTGATTTCCCTCATCCCCTTCTGTACATTATCTTCGATCGCTTTTCTCTCTGCTTCGGTCACTTCTGGCAAGACACCATTCAGCTCAGAAGAAATTTTTTCCACTCTGGCATAGACACTACATTCAAATTCTCTCCTTTGCTTAATGACCGTGTCTTCTATGGCTTTTTGGGCATCATCGCAACTTTTTCTTAAGTCATTACGCAGCGTCAAGAATTGGGGATCGGAAGACTGCATGGCAAGGAGCCTACCCAGGCTGCTTACATTATCCATCAGGTATTTTGAAGATACTTCTGTGTAAGTGTCAGATATCATGTGCACTAAGTGAGCTATGTTGGACACATTGAATGCCTGCTTATAGATCATATCTGTGACAAAGTCTTTGTGGGAATAATTTGGAATTTGGGGAAGATTCTCAGCTGATTGTATGAATCCTCTAAGGCGCTGATTGAGGCAGGAGTCAATGAGGCTAGAGATCATCTGGAAGAAACACACCATCTTCTCCCACTGCTGCTTCACTCTTCCCAAGGCTTCCAACCCTTTGATCAGCATCTTTTTGGCTGTTTCAAAATCAATCTCCCTTGTTTCACGATTCCTCATTTCCTTGAGCACATCCAACAAATCCTTATTCTGCTCCTTTAAGTTGTCAAAACTCTTCTGGTATTCTTCTTGACTCAGCTTCAGCATTTGTTTAGTTTGCTCTATTTTCAAAAGGCTATTTTTCACTGCCATGGTTGAATCTCCTTGAACATCTTCCTGGGATTTTGCCATATTTGGTGCCACGGGACCAAAAGGTGACGTGCGGGTACATGATTTGCTTCTGCTATCGAAAATTTGGATAGTTTTCAAGAGAATTTTCATTTTCTTTTTAAGATCTTTCTTGTTTTCTTGTTTCCCTGACTCTGCTGCTTGAGTCAAGATATCAGAAATATCCATTATCTTCTGGCATATTTTCATTGCCAAGTTCTTGACCCTGCACTTGTCTTCTTTAGTTATCTTTTCTAACAGTTGCTGAGATTTATTTTTGGTCCATACGGTTTTGATCTCATGGTTTTTCTTATTGTAAAGTTGATCCATGTCAATATTACCTTCATCATCCAACAGACTTTCAAGAGCGTTCCCCAGTGCCATAATTTGAGCTGACTGGGCACAGATGTTGTTCAGGGCTATAAAGTCATCCTCCTTTTCCAACTGTTCCTCACTTTTGCTGTCAGATGGAGGAAGCGACTGTTTTTCTTCAGCGCTGAACAAAGATGCAATACCGATAAACGGCATAGTCAAGGCTTCTCTTATACTTGAAGTGATTTCCAGAAGTACAGCATTCCACCCAGTAGGAATGTCATCTACCGCGTTTTTATAATCGTTAAACGTTTCAGTCACTCTGTTCCTTACTTCATTGTAGTATTCCTCAGCTTTCGTCTTTGCCTCTTCAGCTGCTGCCTTTCTTAGCTCCAGGTCTTCCAATGCACGCTTGGTTTCTTCCAATCCTTTCTCGTAGTGTGATTTGGAACTCGTACACACTTCCAGGAGTTCCCCAATCAGACAGATGACATAATTGAACTTATCCTCGACTGCCGCAGCTAAAGATGAACATTCATTTGCAGTTGATTTCAGGGTGCTTAGTTGTCCAGGAAGCAAGGCGTCTATCAATGTAACATCTTCCTGGAATAAGGTCTGGACGATCATTTTGATTTGCTCGGGGACATTCAGAGAAAGGAGCCGGATGCCTTCCATATTCTTGTGAGCGATGTTAAAGGCTTGCCAACCACTGTTGCTTACCTGCATCAGGGAAGCATGGAAAGAGTCTGGGTGCCTCATATATTGATAGCCTCTAACAGGTGGGGCTTTATTGATGGTAAAATCTCCTTGTTCTGCAGCAATGCAAGCCAGCTCCCCTAATATGGCGATGGAGATTGGCCCAGGCATCAGATACTCCTCCCAGTTTGCATGGTGCTTCATCATCAGTTCTGTCTCCTTTCGGACATCCTCCGCTTTACTAATTTTCATTATGGCTCTCATAACAAGCGCGCCTTCTGTCTGCGCAGCCATTTCAGCCTGGATCAAAAAAAAGGGGGGGGAGGTTGAAGGGTCAAAGTTGTAGCTCATGAACATTTATCTGGGTTGGAAAAAATCACAACAAACTCAGAACTTCTAGAAGAGACTTTGCCACTTCCATGACAACCCAGTGATAACTTTGTTAAGGACACCAACTTTCTTTTTAGAAGTGTGCAAAATCTTCAGCTATTAGATTTAGAAATTCACTTCTGATCCTTTGTTTTACACACCCCTAGCTTACTTCTCTCAGAAATGTTAGATTATAGCTCCTATAACTTCCAGAGCCAACCCAAAGGCTGCGTTTGCTGGAAATTTACAGAATTAAAGTCCAACACATCTGGAGCAAAACAAGGTTTTTTAAAATTACAACATTCATTAAGTTTTATTTAAACAGTATCAGCGATAACAATTGAATATTATACATCTCCATTTCAGTCTAAATGATTGAAAAAAAAGCTATATGGTTAAAAGAAAAATAGAAAATAAACAGTAAAAGAAAAGACTAAAAAAGAAGAAAAAATACAGTATAACACACAATATGGGATCCTATTACCTGATCTTGCTTTTTTTGGTAATATAAAATCTATTCAAAGACTGAAAGTTGACAATTTGTTTAGCCAGATTCTGGAGTCTCAAATACATTTATCCTTCCCAGAATACATGATCACCTTTACTGCCACAGTAAAACCACAGTACATCCCAAGGTCTTAATAGACCAATTCGAGCCTTCAGGTATATAATTGAAAACACGTTCCCATCTTTAAATTTAAGTTCCTCCCAAGAGGAACTTGGGTTATGCATTTAATAAAGAAATAGTTGAGAAGGATTGACTGAATCCATAAAGTTAGGTAAGTGAAGAACCTGTCTTGCTTATCCAGATCCAGTCTTTCACTTCCCTCTGACGTTGATTCAAGTCAGATTCAAGTGATTCCTTTGCCACCCAAGAATTTGATAAGAGTGTAAGGTACAACCAGATGTCATCGACAGGCATGATCTAAGGAAAGAGGCACCTTAGAACTTCCTTCTTCTGTGGAATCCATAATAGTGAAAAGAAGCAAACTTAAATTGCATTCTCACTATAATCTGCTTCCAAATCTTAACACCCAACTGTTTCCTCGGCCTCCTGGCTCTGAGCTCTTCATGACCCTTTTCAGCTAGTTTTGAGCTATAGCTCAAAATATGGATCTCGACATCCCCATGTTGAGCACAGGGACATGTAATTTTCAGCCTCCAGCTGAATCCTAGTTTGCTGGGTCTCCCCATTTGACGTGAGGACCCCCCTCCCAAACTACAGAATCTTTCTCCATCCCCTCATTGGAGTTTCACTTTGAGTTTACCGTCCATAACAGGAATATCTCTGGCTTTGCTCACTACTTGCCTTTTGTAATGGGCAGGAAGGGAGAGTCATCAAAGCTGTGACTTTATTCCTGTCCCAGCACAAACAACATTTCTGCTGGGACTGCTAGTGAAGCAAATTGGCATCTTAGTGATGAATATTGTGAATGTTGTGGTTTCCTGAATCTTACGGGCATATTTGCAAGGGTCCGCTATATTAGAATCTGATGGCTGTTCCTAGCTGAGCATTAGATTACAATTTCCATCTTTTCTTTTTCTTTAGTATTTCAACTGCAAAACATCTCTGTGCTTTAGCAGTTAAGTTAGGATCTAAATTCCCAGATAACTGGGTAAGACCGCTCTCTGGGCAACTCCACTTGACCCGCCTCACACCTGGCCTCCAACTGAGAATGGATCTGAGCAATTTTATCCGTCAGGTGTTCAGCAAATTCCTCTGCACGGCCCTGTAGATAGTCCTCTGAGCCCTCCCTACCCAGGAGGGACTGAGTGACCCTGAACAGGGCTGCCAGGTGACACTCTGAGGATGCAATAAGAGCGGAGAAATACTGACATTTTGCTGCCCTTACCACCACGAGGTAGGCCTTAATAGCAGCTCTAACCCGTGTTCAGTTGGACTCGTCTTTAGTTTTTTGCCAGCGGCACTCTAGACTTGGCCCTTTTCAGCTCCCTTAACTCCTCTGTAAACCACAGGGAGTGCTGGGGGCGAGGGGCCG